CCTCAGCTAAGCAGCTGGCTTGGCTTGATGTCCTCCTGGGAAGAGTGAAATTCCTCTTTCTTGGAGCTGCTAAAACATTCTGTGTGCAGAAGCAGATCTGATCTGGGCAGGGATTCCTGCAGCAGATTTTATTCCTAGATCAAGGAAGGAGTTATTTTTATGGGAAACAGATAGACAGACAGACAGACAGACAGACAGATAATAGATAATGATAGATAGATAGATTAGATAATAAATAGAAATAGATAGATAGATAGATAGATAGATAGATAGATAGATAGATAGATAGATAGATAGATAGATAGATAGATAGATAGACAGATAGATAGATAGGAAATAGATGATAGGTGATAGATAGATTGATAGTGATATAAATATAAATAGATAGAGATAGATAGATAGATAGATAGATACAGATAGATACAGATAGATAGATGATAGATAGATAGACAAATAGATATAGATGATAAATAGATAGACATAGATAGATAGATAGATAGATAGATAGATAGATAGATACAGATAGATATAGATAGATAGATAGATAGATAGATAGATAGATAGATATAGATACAGATAGATACAGATAGATACAGATAGATACAGATAGATAAATAGATAGATAGATAGATATAGATACAGATAGATACAGATAGATAGATAGATAGATAGATAGATACAGATAGATAAATAGATAGATAGATAGATATAGATACAGATAGATACAGATAGATAGATAGATAGATAGATAGATAGATAGATAGATATAGATACAGATAGATACAGATAGATACAGATAGATAGATAGATAGATAGATAGATAGATAGATAGATAGATAGATAGATAGATAGATAGATAGATACAGATAGATACAGATAGATACAGATAGATACAGATAGATAGATAGATATAGATACAGATAGATACAGATAGATACAGATAGATACAGATAGATAGATAGATAGATAGATAGATACATACAGATAGATAGATAAATAAATAGATAGATAGATAGATAGATAGATACAGACAGACAGACAGACAGACAGACAGACAGATACATACATACATACATACATATATACAGACAGACAGACAGACAGACATAAGATAGATAGATAGATAGATAGATAGATAGATAGATAGATAGATAGATAGATAGATAGATAGATAGATATAGATGATGAATAGATAGACAGGAAGGACAAGATGAGCGTTAGGTGGGGGCTTCCCCTTGTTGTGCGGTTATTGTTCATGTTCTGGGTTTAAATGTTTTTCCCCCCCTCCATTTTATCCAGGCTGGTCTGCCTGCTGGGAAAAAGCTGAAAATTAAACTTACTCACAGAGAACACCCCCTGGTTTCCGTGTCGTCTACGGGCAACACCATAACAACTCGTATCCAGGCTTCGTTCTTGGATGTTAAAAGTAGCAAGGAGCTGCTCTCCATCCTGGTGGTAAATCTTCCTTTCCTCTGCACTCCTTGGCCAGAGGCCAAAAGTCTTACCCTGCTTACACATCGTCACCTTCCAAAATTAATCTTTACGTGAAGAAACTCCTCTTAAGGCAGAGGAAAGGCAGGAATTGTGGCCCAGTTTGAACACACTCAAGTGTATCTCTCCATCAAGGCTGCGTCACGGAGACTTTCAGATGCCTAGAGAGAGAATTAGGGAGTGTCTATTTAACTGTCCCCCAAGGAGGGCTCCCCACTCCGGAAGAACTGAGCCCACAGCTCCAGAAATAGCCAGCCAGGAGAGCCACCCGTTTGTGCAGGGAATAGAACAGAACAGGACAGACTAGAATACAATAGAACAATGGGATAGAATAGAACATAGAATAAATAGAATAGAATAGAACATAGAATAGAATATAGAACATAATAGAATATAGAATGTAGAATATAGAATATAGAATATAGAATAGAATAGAACATAGAATAGAATATAGAATAGAACATAGAATAGAATAGAACATAGAACAGAATATAGAACATAATAGAACAGAATATAGAATATAGAATAGACTAGAATATAGAATATAGAATATAGAATAGAATAGAATAGAATAGAATAGAACAGAACATAGAATAGAACATAGAATAGAATAGAATATAGAATCAATAGAATAGAACAGAACAGAATAGAATAGAACATAGAATAGAACATAGAATAGAACATAGAATAGAATAGAATAGAATATAGAATAGAATAGAATATAGAATAGAATATAGAATAGAACAGAATATAGAATAAATAAAATAGAATAGAACGGAACAGAACAGAACATGGAATAGAATAGAATATAGAATAGAATATAGAATAAATAGAATAGAATAGAATAGAATATAGAACATGGAATAGAATATAGAACAACATAGAATAGAATAGAGAATATAGAATATAGAACATAGAATAGAAAATAGAACATAATAGAATATAGAATACAGAATATAGAATATAGAATAGAATAGAATAGAATAGAATCTGGAGAGGACCTTGGAGGTCCTCTAGTCCAGCCCCCTATGTTGAGAACCTATACAATCTCAGACTAGTGGCTGTCCAGTCTCTTCTTAAAAACCTCCAGGGATGGAGCGCCCAGACCCTGAACCTCATCTTGAGGATGTTTATGGCCTGAAATGTTGTGCTTGTAATAACGTTGTTTAGCCTAGAAAGCTGTCCAAAGCCTGAGAACTTAGCTAAGTCCAGAGCCAGGAAAAAAAAAAAAAAGGATGGTTTGAAAATGCAAATCTGGAGAAATGTTACTGTAGAACAGTGGTTCTCAACCTTTTTAATGCCGCGACCCCAACCGGTCGTAAGTCGAGGACTAAACCGGTTGTAAGTCGAGGACTAAACCGGTCGTAAGTCGAGGACTAAACCGGTCGTAAGTCGAGGACTACCCAACCGGTCGTAAGTCGAGGACTTTCCCTGCCCGGGAGCGCCGCGCATGCGTGGTTCCGCCCCCTGCTCCGGCCGAAGCGTAGCTGGCAAGCGGCAGAGACGGAGCAGGCCGACCACCAGCTGGCCCAGCCCAAGGGAGGTAAGGCACCCGCCGGAAAAGGGGGAAAAAAATGGCGGACAAAAAAAATGGCAGACAGCCTTGCTTGGCGACCCCCGTGAAATGGTCGATTGACCCCAAATGGGGTCCCGACCCACAGGTTGAGAACCACTGCTGTAGAAGCAGAGGGAGATCATAAAACCTCCGCCACAATGAGAATTACATTCTGAGGGCAGAGGAGAACTTTTCTACCCTAGAGCAACTTAACAGGGAGGAAAGAAGGAAAGGGAGGTGAGGAGGAAGGGAAGGAAGGAAGGAAGGAAGGAAGGGAAGAAGAAGGAAAGGGGAGAAGGAGGGAGGGGAGAAGAAAGAAAGGAAGGAAGGAAAGAAGAAGGGAAAGTGAAAGGGAGAGGGGGAGAGAGGGAAGCAGGAAACAAGGAAGAAGGGAAAGTGGGAAGGAAGGAAGGGAGGGAGGGAGGGAGGAAGGAAGGAAAGAAGAAGGGAAAGNAGGGAGGGAGGGAGGGAAGAAGGAAGGAAGGAAGAAGGAAGGAAGGAAAGAAAGAAGAAGGGAGGGAGGAAGAAGGAAAAGTGGGAAGGAAGGAAGGAAGGGAGGGAGGGAGAGAGGGAGGGAAGAAGGAAGGAAGGAAGAAGGAAAGAGAAGAATGGAGGAAGGGAGGGAGGAAGAAGGGAAACTGGGAAGGAAGGAAGGAGAGGAGGAAGGAAGAGAGGGAGGGAGGAAAGGAAAGGAGGGAGGGAGGAAGGAAGAAAGAATGAAAGAAAGAAAGAAAGGAAGAAGAAGGGAAGGAGGGAGGGAGGAAGAAGGGAAAGTGGAACAGAAGAAAGGAAAGGAAGAAAGGAAAGGAGGAAGGAAGAAGGACGAAAGAAGAAGGAAGGGAGGCAGGAAGAGGAGGAAGAGGAAGAAGGGAAGGTGAAAGGGAGGGAAGAAGGAAGGAAGGAAGGAAGGGAAGGAAGGAAGGAAGGGAAATCTAAGGCTTCTCCTCAATGGGAGACCTTGTCAGACCTCTCAGACCCTCCTCCGCCTTCACCCTCTTCTTCCTCCTCTCCCTGGCAGGTCCATGAATGCAGCGTCATTATTGTCATCAAGCAGGAACTGTTGGTCTTCTCGCTGAAAGCCGGGTCGTGCAGGTACACCCTCTCCTTGCTCCCGAGACCCCTACCTGAAGGAAGTGACCTTGGGGGGGGGAGAGAGAGGGCAGGGGGCTGCTCAGAGCCGCAGGCTGCTTCCCCAAATGAGCTTTAAACCGAGCTCCGAGGTCCCTTCCGGATCGGTTATTCTCCGTGCAAGCTGTCAACGTCGCTCCCGTTGGACGCTCCTGCTTGGACAACGGCGATGCAACCTCTTTCTTTCTCATGCTTTACTCTTAGCGTTAGAGAGGGACGTGGTGGGAGTTAAGTTAGACAGAACAACATCTGTCTAAGAGGCGGTGAAGGCGTGGCGGGAGAAAGGCCTGGGCGGAAAGCCTGCGTTTCAAACTCATGGGAGAATGTGGTCGACGACCGTTAGTTGCAGGAGGGAATTGTGCTTCGATACTATGCCGTGGAGGGGAGGAGAAGTCAGATGTTGGGCTTGGACTTGAGTAAAGATACCTTAAGGCAGCGGTGGCGAACCTATGGCACGCGTGCCAGAGGAGGCACTCAGAGCCCTCTCTGTGGGCACGCGCGCCATGCCCCGGAGATGGCAACCGTCCCTCTTCAACCAGCCGTCCGCTAACTCGCCGGGGTCCCACATGGCCGGATGCATCCCAGCACATCTGGTTTCCCTCCCGCCCATCCCGTCCCTCCTGGCCTCGCATGCTCTCCTTTTCCCAGGCACGACCCACTGCATCGCCTCCTCAGCTGTCGGTCGGCCGTCCAGCTCAGTGGTGGCTTCTCTGAACTGCTGGCGGAGGGCTGCGGAGCCCCAGAGTGCGCCGGTCGAGGGGCCGGCAGGCTGTGGCTGCTGACGGACACCGTCGGCCCCCATGCGCTGGCTGGCCTCTGTGTGCGGGGGCCGATGGTGTCAGGCAGTGGCCACCCCGGCCCCTGCCTCTCCTTGCCCTGCGACAATGGCACCCCCACCCTACCTCGTCTTGCCTCGCCTCATCCCGCAGGACGAGCCTCCCGCCCCTCGC